TTACAAACATCTTCTCATCTTGCTGTCAGGAAAACCTACTCTGACCCCAGGTTGCCCCAAGGTAGCCTTGTTCCCTCCCTGCACTTCTGATGATTTGGACGGACAGGACGGGGAGGGAAACTGGCCACAGCAGGACTCCCAGAGGAGAGCAGGGAAGGAGGGCAGCTGGCACAGGAGCAGGAGGCCCGGCGCTCAGGGAAGAGTGGCACTTGTCCTCGGGGCTGTCTTTGAAGAAGGACAGCATATTCTCATGTGATTAAAAAGGTCAGAAACAAGATCAGGGAATGAACTTACGAGGGGCGCTGATTTCAATACAAAATTAGTTTACAAGGCTTGAATTATTCAAGGGATTAATAAAACGCTTCTAGAGATGGTGAGTAGCCCGTTGCTGGAGGCATTCAAGTGGGGACTGAATGGCCCATTGTCGGGCTTGCTTTTGGTCTAACTAAATAAAGGACTTTCAAGTGCTCTTCACACTCTGAGGGTCTTTAAACTGCAGATGCGGTATCTTTCCCCTCTGCCATTTCCCCAGTTAAATAAATGATTATTGAGCATTTGAAACGAAAAGCCAACTTCCCAGAGCTTCACTACCTGAGAACTGGATGAGGAAGAACATGCTATGACCGTTTCATTGCAAACACATCAGCCATGTTACTTAAGTTATATAATAATGGTGCTTTAAACTTTACTAAAGATTTTTAAAATATTTTTTAAATCTGCACCTTTTAAAAAAGCACCATGGTCTATATTTTGTTTCCCGAGCATTCCTTCCACCATATGCTATGGGTGGTTTGTAGTGGGCAGGCCAGTCATGAACAAACAGCATTTGGAAAACATTCTTCACCTAGGTTACCTACTGAGATTTATAGGCAGTATTATTTGATAATATCTACTGATATAATACCCAATAAAATAATTTTAGTAATATAGTAAGTCATTCCTTACAAGTGCATATTTTTATATTATTGGTCAAATATTGTGGCTTAAAATAAAACAAGGGGTATAAGTTTGATAGAACCAACAGAAAATGCAGTTGCTAACTGGGGCTCAGATTCAGCACTGAAGATGTATCCTTGTATTTATTTCTCTACTGCACTGAATAACAAAAGAAGAGTTTTCCTGTAAATCATGTTTAGAATAAGTTAGATTCCTTTAGCATGCTTGCAAAACTGTTTCTGAGACAGCGTACATCAAAGATTGCAATGTCTTGGAAACGGATTAATCAAACTTGATTAAAAGCTGCCATTCCTGCTGCAACCTACACATTAAGTTACGTCAGTAAATTTCTTAGCCATAAGTTTTCTTCTTTTATAGACAAGAACATTTATAGCACCAGTCTTGCTTTTTCTCCTGGTTATTTCATCAGTCACGTTTTCTAAATAAGGAAGCTATGGCTTGTCACTCCCAACATCACTGAATCCTTTCATATAATTTAATTTTAAGATTTATACTTGACCTACATGCTTAAAAACAACAGTGTATAGAAGTCAATTATTTGGTTTAGTGCCAGTAATATATTAGCTACGACAACAATTTCTTAGAAATTCACATTTTATGGACGATAACATGAAATTAACAAATGCAAAGTTCTAAGCAAATGTGGCTGTAAAGTAAGCTTTATATATATGCAGTGAGACTTCAAAAAGAAATTAGATGTTACTACCTCTTTATATAAAAGGTCTCTGTGCCTTCTTCACTGGAGTACACAATGGGGGCAGGTAAAAGTGAAAATTCCAAAGTTTTGCCCTGATCTATATGATTCAGCCAAGCAATCTAGAAAAACACAATCCTTTAGAACCAATCCTTTCATATCCTATGACTTAGGAAAATTAAAAGATAAGGAGTCTCTGGTTTCAAGTCTAACAGCCGAGTAGGGGCTATGGATTTCAAATCTTTATTTTTAAATGGACAATTTGCCTGAAAACTCACTGAATAATACTAAAACTCTTTAATAGAGAAAAGGCACTGGTCTACAGTAAAACAAATAAGGCAGAGATGAGGAAAGAAAAAAAAAAGAAATGAAAAAGCAAAACAAAGACCACACATCCCATAGGCAATTATCAGAGAGACCAGACCTCTTCAGTTTGTATCACATCCTTCATTCCTTCATTCATTCCCACACACAGAAAACTTCCATTCTCTCATCCTCCAAAAAAATCATAAAATATGGCAGTATATTCTTTCCTTTTCCTTTCTATTTTTTATAAAGAAATAAAAATGTCCACGCAAATATGTGCCACATGTCCTAAAGTGTGGATCCTAGCCCGCGTACCCACCGCCCAGCAATGTGATCCTCAGTGAGTCATTTCTCCACTGACTTACGGCACGAAATATGGGGTATCAGTTTCCTCCCACAAAGGAGAATTACATCAAAGATGTAAACAAAATTGCTTTGAGAACTGTAATGCACTAGAAACATATGTCTGCAATGGTAAAGAGCCTTACATAGTCTGGTACTAAACGATAAATAAAACTTCAGCAAATTCTCTTAAAAATATATGTATAAAAGCTTAAAGGAAGTCCAGAAGCTGGAAAAGTTTAAATCATAAGTTTTAATCCGGAAACAAACAACTGTGAACCCTAGAAGTTAAAGATACTGGTTTTTAGTAATATTCACTTAGGAAGAATCAAAATTTATTATTCACAGTAAGATGAAAAAATATTCTCATAAAAGAAGCATGAGGGAGATAAATTAGGAGTTGGGGATTAGCAGATACAAACTACTGTGTACAAAATAGACAAGCAACAAGGTCCTACTGTACAGCACAGGGAATTGTAGTCAATAGCTTGTAATGACCTATAATGAAAAAGATTATGCAGTGGGAGACATATAACTGAATCACTATGCTGTGCACCAGAAACCAACACAACATTGTAAATCAACTAGACATCAATAAAAAAAAAGAAGCATTTGATTTGGGACTTGAATTTTAGATTTGGGATGTCTCAAATCTGAACACTCTAACATTTTTTTAAAATTTATTTAAAAAATAAAACACAACTCTACAAGAAAGGCATTATTATATTTTATACTCCACCCATTTTTCACGATGCCAGGTTATTAGTTCCTTTTACGTTCAGCCATAGCAACTCAGCTCTGGTTCTAGAACTGGCTCTCTTTGTTTTGCTTGTGTCTCTCACCTTAGGATGCTGGTATATGATTGTTTTCTTCAGAATTAACATACATTTAAAGCCAACGCTTAGCATTCTTGAAAATAACATGGTGCGCTTGTAATTCACCTAACACTGGTTTGCATGTTTCTTTACACAGACACTCTTACTCATTCTAACATTTCCTACTGGTGTCTCTCTTTTTTTGGTTTATAGTGGGCACCGAGTAAATACACGGGACATAATCCATAACTTGAAAAGGTAACGGCCACGGCAATATGCTGAAAGAAGAAAAAAGGCTACAAAAGTGACAGCAATACAAAATGGAAAGGATATGCCATTTAATAAAACAAAATGCATCTAATACGCAGCATAAAATAAAGACTCCAAGCTGTAGCTAGGGAAATACAAATTTGCTTTCCTAGTAAGTCAAATTCCCCCAATATGAACATTTAAAACCTTTCCCCTGGAGATTAAATGTTTATCCGCAGTTTAACTACACAATGTTTAGGGAAGCAATGCTGATTCAGTTACGTATTTTCCTATTTAGGATCTCCTGAGAGTTTACTCTTGTTGTTTCCTCGTGTTTTCAATAGCATGTCAAGAAAAATCATTTAACAACAGAGAGCGTTGAGGGGTTATCTGAAGAACACTCTACACACACATGCCAAGAATACTGAAGGATTTGGCAGATTTCAGGACCAAGACAATAGAGATCCCTGTGAATGAAAACCTATGGGAGCAAGATGTTGAACAACGTAAATGGAAGAATTGTTCTTATGTCCAGCAGTTAACAGTTAGCACTTATCACAATTCATCTTTACGGTGGAGGGTCTACCAAATATAATATCTAACATGAACCCTCCAAGCAGGCTTGAATTGTGCTAAAGAAGCTATCTCAAAGAATACCGTAAAATGGACCCATTCCGCCTTTTATCTCTGTACAAGTGATTTCTTTTTAGAAAAGAATCTATGCACCCCGCCTCAATACAAGACATGTGTACTTGTGTCCTCTAACGGAGAAAATTTCGAGAATTCCTTGAGACGAATTTTAAGCACACAGCCAGAGTTAAGTCACATGCCCCGCTATAAAGACAGACCAGGAATGTGACATATCTACAGTATTCACAGATGCAGACATATATTTATGGGACTCCATCAGCAGAAATCAAATGCCTACGAATAAAACATCATTTAACTCTACAGGAATTCAATTCCCATTTGAGAAGTAGCGCATCACCAAATCCCTTGCCACTGGTGAGAAAAGCAAAGCCAAAAAGAAACACTTCTCAATAAAAACAATTTCTAACATTACATTCAAGCTTTTAATCAGTGTCCAAACAACTTCAGCCTAATGTTCATTTTCAGACACAGAAAAAAATGAAGGTAATAAGGATTTTCTAAATTTTCAACTTTTAGCATAGCCTGGTAGGTGGACCACTTTACACTTGGATGAACGGAAACGCCAGGGCGACAAAGCATGCTTCTACTGAGGCAAGAAAACACCGAGACCATGGTATTTGAAGTCAAGTGACCTAATCCGCTGTCCTCAGTTCCTACTGCAATCAAGAGAGCTGCCCGAGATCTTATCAAAGAGCTGAAACCTCACGCGACGACAAATGTTCTGATCAAAAGATCATCTTTGCTGCTGAACCAAAGAAGATGTCAGGGATCCTGGATCAATATCCATATTCCAAATCAAACAGAAGATTATAAAACCCAAAGAAAGTCAGCCTTCTCATACTCAGCCAGTGACATGAATGCAATCATGTGATGCAAAATAATAATAATAATAAAAATAATAATAATAATAATAATAATACAGGAACAAGGCCTGGTTAGAAGACCTCTTTAGCAGCGAGAGCGAAGAGAGAAAGGCTGGTACCCACCTGGGATCTTTCTGGATGCTGTCGATGGACGGCGATCTGGCCAGGGTGCCTTCGGGCGGGAGGGCAGGGCCGGACTTGCTGTAGGGCGACTCCACAGAAGGACAATACTGCAGCTGTCGGTAGGGGTCGGCGTAGTTGGAGGCCGGGCCGGCGGCGTAGCTGGCCCTCTGGAAGGTGGCCGCGGTGGCGCTCTGCGGGCCATGCTGGCTGCCTGTGCGCTGCAAGGGGACGGAGTCGACACCGGGGGAAGATGGGGCTAGGACAGGAAAGTGGGGACAAAGTAAAAAATTGAGGACCTGCTCACAGAAACGGTTAACCAGGTCTAGGCAGGGGGGGAAATTACACACAGAAAACAAAAAACAAGGGTTTGAAAGAATAAAAAAAAAAATAATCTGTCATAGTTGAACTAAGACATTCAATGTTACCCAGCAACGCAATCACGAGCATGCTGTTTCAGAAATGCACCTGTCAGCCTAGGCAGGCAAACGCGTGTGAGGTGTGCTTCCTGCTCACCCGCATCCCAGAGAAGGTTTGTTAATCTAACCTCTGCGCGGAGCTAAAACCCAGGAGAAAGAAGGAAATTTTTCTAAAGAATCATAGACCATTAGTTCTTTATTGTTCAGGTTGAGGTAATTCAGAAAGCGTTCATTCAGGTGATGTCATGTTTACTTTATTAGGGGCGTGAAACAAATTTACAAAGGTGGTTCATTTTCCTGAATAAATGAAAACACAAAAAAGTGAGGTGTGTAGGCGTGGGGGTGGAGGAGGACACAGGTGGGGCTCCTGTTCCCATAATTAGTACTACAGCATGAAATGCAGGACTGGTCTAGTTTTTGTAAAGTAACACCCACAAGGTTTTTATACGCCTCTTTTTCAACTCAGGCTGTCACGGTAACACACACATTTGATGAGGGGCAGGCACGCCAGGGAAGATAGAGCCCCGCCCAGCTGCAGCAAAGACAAAATAATGAGCTGACTTGGCTCTTCTAGAATTATTTGCATCTTTTCAATACGCTTACACTGTTTTGGGAAGATTTCGCACCAGTTACTAACATAGGTTTGACTGGTTTCAAACTGAATTTGTGTTTTGTTTCCTTCCTGGGCTCTTCTGAGCTCGTTTCAGGTCATTATTTTTACCTGGTTCTCAAGAATACTTGACGTCTAAGGTTGAGCTGACATACACAATGAAAACAGCATCTTTCGTATTAATAGAACACGACCTGTTATTAACTGCTGCGATCGTTAACCATGTTCAATACTAGACAGCGCATTTACTTTCCAGCATTGTAGATCACACTATATCCAAATATAGCCAGGGTCTAGATATGGCCATTTATACCATGGGAGCTCTATACGGAATTACATTACAACTCTGAGTCACACCCACAACGCGGACTTTCTGAGCATTTCTTAGTGGCTGGTGATAGAACTTATGTTATCCCTTCTCACATTCAGGGACATATGCAAAATCAAACACAAAAGAAATTATGTCAATGAGAAAACAGTATTAATGTTAAAAGAATGTGAGGATATCGCGTCAAAATGACAAAAAAGTTGCAGAGTGACTTGGAGGAATTGAATGTATTCTAACAGGAGAACTGATTTTAATTAAGAGCTTCTCATTTCCAATGAGCTTTTAATACTTATTCTTATAAGAACCAAAATTAGAAGAGGCACCCATGACATGGTGAAGACTAGAAAAATAGATAAGAAAAACTTTCTAAGCAAAGAGTATGTATATTCCCAGAGAAGCAGTATTTTGAAATGAGGAGGGCTGCCCTGAAGGACTGAGTTTCAAAGTCGTTAGATTAGACAGATAAACATGAAGTTCACAGCCAGAAAAATCTGTTTTCTATCTTCATGCAATTCCTGAAGCATTTATATTTTCTCCAAAATTTTATAAACATGTCTACTTGAAATTCACATTTTAAAATTTATGAATAATGCGCTTTATGTTACGCGGGCAGGGGTTTAAAAATTTAGGCCAGGCATAACCACGCTCGTGGAAGAACAAAGGCACAGTGGTGAACAAAATTTCATTTTCTAGAAGAGTTGTGAAGAGTCAGCCAGTACATGAAGGGCAAAAGGGAAAACCAACCACACCTGACATTTTTCAGCTAAATGATTTTTTTTTCCATTCAGGAACTAAATGTCAGCACTTAAGCTTGCTGAGGATGGTTACTAACATCAGCAAAAATCGTTCGGTATATAGAACTATTTGTTATTATTACATGAAATACAGTGATTAACAGGAAGGGAGAGCAAAATGGGAGAGACCAAGATTTAATACTGAAACGTAAACATTCTTGCTTTAAAAAAAATGATAATAATATAGGTAAGGGGAACAATCCGACCAGTCACACCAAAAAACTCTCCAAGGACCTCAAATTTTAAAAGAATATAATATGAGGACTTTAAGAAAAACCCTCCCAGCAGCAGTAAAAAAAAAAAAAAAAGAAAGAAAATTATGCAGACTTTAAGGAAGATCGGGCCAAAGTGTGAAAACAGAGTGTGAAATACAATTAACTTAGCAGAAACAAGAAGGCAGCATCTCAGCATATGAGGAGGAAGAAAAGGTGAAGGAAAGTTTACGAATATTACTAGGCTCAGATTTCTATTTTGCTGTGGCCTTCTTGAGGGGAGAGTCAGGGAACTCATTTGGGGCTTGGCTTCTGAAGTGGGACAATCAGGTCCACATCCAGGCCATTAGGCCCATTCTTGGTTTGGGGCAAGGTCCTGGGTTCTCTAAGTTCTAGTTTCCTGGTTGTAAAGCGAAGAAAGGAAAAGGGCCTCATGGGATCATTACTTGCTTTAAGTGCATGAAAAGTGTTAACTGCCTCATACGCACAAAATGTTAAACAAATAAACTTTTATTATTACTTAACAAAGCTGAAATCAGCTCCCGTTAGAAAACGAGTTTGCACAGAAGGCACAGAGTGAATGGCCCTCACCACTGGGCATCGGACTTTATAGCTCCTGTTAAGTGTTTCTTTTGTCGACTCGCATTTTCTCCAACAACTCCACCCGAGAATTAATGCGGCATTCTTCACTTCACAGGTGGGAAACCGAGGAACAGAGAGAGGACAGAATTTGCCCGAGTCTGCCTTATATTTAGTAGAGAAGGAATTCGAGCCCTTGCACCCTGCTTCTGGAGTTTATGCCTACTATCACCAGGTTTATAAACTGGATTGGGTTTATAACCTCAAATATGTGTATTATTGAATGTCTAACATGGTGAGAAAAATTGGGAAAACGTTATGAAAGGCCTAAAATTAAGGGGAACGTCTACCAAAAGTACAGAGAAGAGCCAAGTTTGTAATAGGAATCAACAGCTTGAATATTATATTGAAAAAAATTATTCCACCTTGGTGTGTTAACTCATTTACAATATTTCTCATTTAATTGAATTGATTGAGATATGCAGAAAAATCCAACTTTGTTCATTTCTAGGAAAATCAAAAATAGGATACATATAGTTATCTTTTATTGTAAAGAGCTTTCCAGTCTTAATTTAATCAGGAATGTTACCATATGAAGAAAAAAGAGGGGGGACTGGAAATCTAAGATGGGTAAATACCCTGCAGAACGATCATGTTTTAAAAAATCACAGTCACGTTCATGGTACTTGACAAATGGCCTTTTGGAAGTCTCATTCCTGAATCGGTAGTTTAAACTTCTTCTAGGTCACAATAAATAGGGTACTGATGAGAATTTCAAATATAAGATCAGAATTCAAATTGGAACCGCCACGCGCAAATCAATTAGAGACTGATCAGTGCGAGGGAAATAACGCAAAGCAGCAACAGAAATGGGAGAAAAACACACTACGTTAAAGGGGAGGTTATGTGATCACATAGAAGGAAATGCATGAGAATTGAATCGATCTCAAACCGACCATCAGTGACGAAATAATGTAATGCCTTAGAATTTTTTAAGCATTTTTAAAATTGAATTCTCCCTTTTCGCCCTGCCTGTTCAGACCATGGTGTGGCTTACGCAGACTGTGGCTCTCCATTGATACAGATAAGCAGATACTGATCACACACTATGAAGAGTTTTCTCTAATACCATTTTCCCTTTAACTTCTGTCCTGTTATACATCTTCTCTCGTTTGAGTTTTAGAGCTCAGCTAACCAAATCACCACCTTGGAGAATTACTCTGTTCAACTGAACCTTCTTACAGCAAACATTTGAAGTGGACAGTGCTTTCTCAGCTCTGTAAACACTCCTCTCCCTTCTCACCTGCTCTGCAAACACCCCCTTCTCCTCTCAGTAAGCTCTTAAAACTCAATGAACCACACTGCTGGTCTCTTTGGGGAGATTTTTAAAGTAGCCTCTTCAGCAGTTGACTTGAGACTTCACCCAACATCTACGCTGTTCATGAAATTATCTGTTTTCCAGAGAGCTACAAAAATAAAGGTCTTGTTAAAAAAAAATGAAAGAGGTGCTCTATGTGTTGTATTTCTTTAAAAGAAGGAAAGGGAGATCCTTTTAAATAAATCATTCTGTTCTTATGATGATAGACAGTTACATGCATTATTTACTGACAATGGAAGAAAGGGAGAATGGAATAAAATACAAGAATGTGGGACATGGAGAAATTCAGGGCAGTAGAATACAAAGTGGGGCTCAGCAGAAGGAAGAAAAAACATTAATTTTTGTTTTTGTATTATTTATCTTTGCTTTTATGTATATTCGTATATAAAGAAATATGAAAACATAAAATACACTTACACATGTTATATAATACAAAGCAAAGAAACAATAAGCTAATTAAATGATCTTCCTTCTGCAAGCTCACAAAATAAAGATGGCTTAGGTGACAATGGGTCCAAGAATGTGGTCTATAAACTTTTAAAGCTATTCTTTAGCTAACAATAACTATTATTTCAAGATGAGGAATCTTTACCACCCAATCCATCATATTCCTAAAAGTATTGTCACCTGAGCTGAACTCCCAATTTTCTGCACTCTACACAGGTTAATCCAAGCTAAGCTTGATGGAAAAACATTCAAATGTAAATGTAACAAAATCTTTTAACTTCATACATCATTATTTTTCTGGGGGAGAGGCATTCAGTGCAGGGGTTTTAGCAGCAGGAGAACCATTAGCATTGGCGTTGATTATCGGTGTGTTGGTGTTTCTGAATTTTACCAACTAGTCTACCAGCAAACACTGTTTTCCTCCAGCTGTAACCAGTCTTTGTATTTATACAATTTAAGGGGAGTTGATACAGGCAAGCATCCGGAAGCTCT